GGCAGGGCGGAGGAGTCCCGGGGCAGGCACTGACTGCACACTCGCCTACGGGGTTTCTTTGCCCATCCAGTGAGACGGGCTTTCGGGGAGGGAATTTAAAGATGTCAGCAATTTAAGGGAAAATAAAGAAGAAGCCGTGGCCTCTTGCCTAGCCAAGCGGTTACGGAGACGGGTTCCTCGGCCATGCGTCCTGGGTCAAGCCACGGCTCTGCCTGGTCTGTATGCCCCTGGGCGCTCAGCTTCCTCGGTTTTCCCATCTGTACGATCGGAACCATCCGGCTCCTACTTCGCAGGGTTGCTGGGAGGGAGTGAGCTGGCAGATGTGTGGTGACTGGGAGAGTTTCTGGCGGCTGGCGCCGTGGTGCAGAGGGTGAGGCTGCTGTTTGTGACTCCGGCATCGCACATTTACAGCGTCAGCTCAAGTCCCTGCTGCTCTACTCCTAATCCAGCTCCCTGCTAACGTGCTCTGGGGAGCCAGCAGACGGTGGCCCAAGTACTGGGGTCCCCGCCACCCACGTGGGAGACCCGGATGGAGTGCCTGGCTTCCGCCTGGCCCGGCTGTTGTGGCCATTTGGATGGAAAATCTTTCTTTCCACTTTTCAGACACGTGAATGACTCTTAAAAGGAGAAGGAGAAGTGCCTGGGATATACTGAGGCTTTAGAAGTGGGAGCTGTCATTGTCGCCACCTTAGCAGTTCTTCCGGGACACTTATTTATTATCTGTTCTCAGCGTTGCCTTGCAGGTCTCCCACGAGCCTCACTACACACGGGAGAGCCAGAGGGACTCCTGGCCCTTGAGCCAGCTCCCCAGTTTCCCAGGCCCCCTCGGCCGGACCCCCAGACTTGGGCCAGCCTGGCCCATGGCCCTGACTGCAGCAGGTACCGGTTCTGGTAGGATCCAGGCAAGTCAGGTGGAGGGGCAGTACTGTGACCCTTGTGTGGAACTGGGCGGGGTCCACACTGCTGTTCTCCACCTCCCTGGGGCCAGAAACCTCCAGGGGGCTGGGAGCGCCCCTGGGAAGGTTTGTCTTTTATTTCCAGGGTCACACTGGAGGCTACAGCCCTTTTCTTTGCTGGGTTTCCTCCTGCCGACCCGTGATGCCTGGTGGTGCCCTAGCCAGGACACAGTGCTGTACAGTGCCACACCAGCCACGGCCACACAGAAAGACGGCATCATCAAAGCTTTAAGTCACCCAACCCTGGGGCAGACCACTCATAGCCTCTTATCTCACCAAGTTCAAGCCTCTTATTGTCTGAGTCAGTTAGGCAATGCCTTCTTGTTACTTCCAGCCTAAGGCATCTGGGTGAGATTCCATGGTTAGATTTCATCTCCTTGAGATTAAGTTCATCAAACCAGAGGCAGGGTCTGAGCCCAGCCCTGCGTGCAGGGGAGGCTTCCTGGAGGTGGTGGAGAGAGAGAGAGAGAGAGAGAGAGAGAGAGAGAGAGAGAGAACCAGGAACCTCAAAGAGTGGGCAGGCAGACAAAAGGGGTGGGACCAGGGACAGGAAGGAGTACGAATCCAGAGGGACAGAGGTGTCACTGGGGACGCGGGGGCTGCCAGGGGGCCAGGTGGGCTGGGTTGAAGAGGTTTACATGAGGGTAAAGAGGAAGGCAGGCTCACAGAGGGTCTTGCCTTCCAGCTTTGTGCCCAAACAGAAGCCTACTCAGCCTCCCTCCAAGCCTGAGTCCAGCCTGACCCAGACAAAGTCCCACATGTCAGGGGCAGAAGCCTGCTCAGCAGAGCCAGGGCCGGGGTCGCCAGGCCCTGCTGCTGCCAGGTGAGCGACTCCTGGGGCCCCCAGGGCACTTGTCAGAAACTCCCAGCCGATACCAGGCTGAAATCTGGGTCACTCTGTGCACGGGTCGGCCATCCATCAAACCGACAGTCAGCTAAGCGCCGACAAAGCAGTGTGCGCGGGACCTGGTTCAAATCCCAGCTCGGTGTCTGCCCAGACGTGTGACCTTGAGCCAGCCGTTTGATTTCTCCAGACCTGGTGTCTCCAGCTCTTGGCGGTGGCGATGGCTACAAGGCCCAAACCTTCGGTTTCTGGTGGAGCCAGGAGGGCAGGACCCAGGCAGAAGCTGAGATGTGAGGCAAGGGGAAGGGGAGGGGTGGAGGAAGGCGGGTGGAAGGTGCTGACAGACAAGCATTCCTGGGTGGGCGGGCAGGAACACAGAAGGCCCAGTGGTTCAAATCCGTGCTCCTGAACTTTCCAGTTCGGTGTGCTGCCAACAGAGGGCCTGAGCCCTGGCATGCTGCAGGTGCCCGAATCCCGGCTCCAGGCTCCTGCTGTGAAAGCAGCTGCAACAGTAGCCAGTTCACAGAGCAGTCCTGTGCGTGCTGGGGGTCCCGATCCCCTCTGCCACTCGGCCAACTCCTATTACCACCCTAAGATCTGGTGCCACCTCTTACAAGAAGCCGCCAGCACCCTCAGGCAATTCCTGAGCCCTCTCCCTCCCCGCTTCCCTGCTGTATCCTGGGGGCCATGGCCTCTTCTCTTTCTTCCCACCAGCGTCTCTCCCCCTCACCCCCTGCACGGCATGGAACGGGTCTCTCCCAATGCCTTCCCCTTCCCACGCCTCCACCCCAGGTAGATGCGAGGGAGGAAGTGACTAAGTGCGCTGGGGAGTGGAGAGGAGGGGGTTCAGGCAGGTTTCAGGGTGATATCACCAGATGTTAAGGGCTGAATGGGAATGTAGTGGGGGGTGGGGTGGGGTGCATTCCTCCCGCAGGTGCAAGGGTACAGAGGTGTGAAGGGAATGACCAGGTGAACCGGAGAGGGTCCCTGCAAGATTATTCTGGGGAGTGGCTTCCGACCAGAGTCCAGCGTCCAGGTCCCAAAAGGCCTTGAATGCCAGGCCAAGGATTCAGTCTTCCGGAGACTGGTTGAAACACTTTTCACAGGCGGCACAGAGACCCTGAGAGGACCTTGTGCTAAGTTTAGGCTCTTGGGAGTGATGACAGAGCCACAGGCCACCACCTGGGGGCAGGCACTGCAGGAAGAGCCGGGGGGACCGAAAGTTGTTCCTGGATGACCAATGATAGAATGGAAAACAGCCTAATGAATCCATCTGACACTTGCTAAAAACTCACTTCTGACATCACTTACACACACACACACAGCAGCAGCTCTGGGCCATGGGGTGCACTGTCCATTCTCCAGCGGGACAGAGTGACACCCAGAGGAGAGGGGCCTTTCCCGGGCCACTCGGGCAGAGAGAGCCCATGACAACCGAAGCCTGGCCTGAGATCACTGGGCAAACGTGCCCAGCACCCTCCTGAGCCAGATCCTGGAGACAGGGAGCTAACCTTTGACCTCTGAGTCATCTGGAGGTTGGACCGGTCACTTGGGCCTCCTGCAGCCGCACACAGGCCGGCAGAAGCTCCCCGCTGGGCCGTGCCTGTCTAGGAGTGCTCAGAACTGGATCCGGCGTTGGGGCTGGAAGTCCCTCCACCGAGAGCCCACCTTATGCTGCCTTTCTGAGAAGCCCCCAAATGCCCCCTCCTCCCAGCGCCCAGGCACCGTGCACAGCCGCAGCCTGAGTCATCACCCTCATCTGAGTGGTTGGTGAGGAGGCAGCCAGGGGGCTGCGGGGGGCTGAGGATGCTCCAGGACCTCGGCCCTGCAGGATCGGGTGGGGGTGGGGGGCGGGGACCAGAGGGCAGGTGGAGGCAGGATGCCAGGGGATCCGGTTAGCCAGGGGGCAACTCTGCAGGGGCAGTCGCGACTCTTGAGCTATGGGCTTTTGTTTTCAAATGACCTGTTTAATAATTACTCTCTTGCAATCTGAGGAGCAAGGGGTCAGTGAAGGGGAGGATTTCCAACCTCGGGACCCCAGCGGGCAGCCCCAAGCTGCCGGCAGAAGACAGTAAACAAGACGCCCCTGGCAGATCTGGCTCCATCTCCAAACAATGGCCGGACTCAGCTCCCGGTTCAGACACACACACATCAAAGTGAGATTTCCCAGCGAGAACTTTCACAGGCAAATGACAGACTCCTCCGACTCCACAGAGCTCACAGCCACAGGGGCTGCCCAGGAGGAGGGGGTGAGGGGGGGAGCTGTCACTGTACCGCTAACCTTGACCTGTCACGGACAGCCGGGGAGAACGGCGGCCACCCCGAACCCCGAAACTTCAAACCAATCTCCTGGGACCAAGAGTGTCACAATGGTGGCAAACCAGAGACTTAAGTTCGGGCAGCCGGCTGGCACTTAACACTGCACGGGACTCCTTAAAAATAAAAAAAACAACAGCCATCCCATCCCACCCCAAATCCTGTCACCTACCTTTACCTGGAGCTGGGAAAATTCAAGTTTTCCCCCTTTCCTTTTGCCTTCCAAGGCCTCCAAGTGCCCCCACCCCACCCCCCAACCTTGCAGCACCCAGGCCCAGCCTCGGGGCAGCTACATAAAAACACGCCAGCTCCTCCCCTTCCACGGTTCGGCAACCCTGGACCCCCCTACCCCTGGCCCGGACCCCCAGCAGGAAGTACCACGGCGACTCTTCCCCGACCCCTCCCCCACCACCCCCGCAGGCACCCCGACAGCAACACCCACGAACGATTTTATGATTTTTCCTGCTCCGGGGAGCGGCGCTCGGCGGCACCCCCACCCCCACCCCGCATCATCCCGCCCCCGCCGCGGCCTCGCCGGGGGGGGCGGGGGGGCCCGGCCCCACCGGGGAGGGGGGTGGGGGGCGCTAGTGCGCTTTTCCCACGTCCTCACACCTGTTTTTCATTCATTCGTTCGTTCGCCCGCTCATTCATCCGCGAGTTCGCCCTGCCCCCTACTCCCCACCCCACCCCCAGTCCCGGCCCCCGACCCCCCCCTCCCCGCCCCCGGCCCGGGCTCTCCGCGGGGAGCCCCTCCACCCCACCCCCTCCCGGGGGCCCGGCTCTGCGGGCCGCTGCGCTCCGGGCCCGAAGTTGTTTTCCGAGGCGCGGCGCCCGGGCTGCGCCTTTGTCTGTCCCCGGCCGGCGCCGCGGCCCCGCGCGCTCACCTGGTCTTGGAGGACAGGAAGGCGAGCTTGACGAGGCCGTAGGTGAAGAGCGGGAGACTCTCCTTGGCGACGCTGGCAACTTGCAGCCGGTGCTCCAGGATGTGGAGTTCCATCGTCCGCCCGCGCTGCGCGCTCCGCGGCGGCGCATCGGCGGGGGGCGAGCCGCGGCCCCCGCCCCCTCCGCGCCCAGCCGGCACCGAGCCGCCGCGGGCAGCCGGCCCGGGGGGACCGGGAGCTGGGCGCCGGGCCGGGCCGCACCCACGGGAGGCCTCCCCGCCAAGTTGCGAGGGGGCTCGGCGGGCGCCGGGGGCAGCCGGGCGGCGGAGCGGCGGCGGAGCGGCGGCTCGCAGCGCCCGGCGCGGGGAGCAGCTGGTGTTCGCTGGAACAAACAACTTGCCACTCAAACGCCGGCCGGCGCGCTGCGCGTGCGCGGCCGCGCGGCGCCTGCCGGGAGTTGTAGTCCGAGTGCCGCCGCCGCCGCCGCCGCCGCCGCCGCCGCCGGGCGGGCTCCGGGGATGGGGGGGCGCTGGGCACGCGCGAGACGGGGCGGCGCGGGCCCGGCGGGGCCACGGAGGATCCCGCCTGGGCCTGGGATCGCGCTGTGTCGCTCAGGCGGAGCCCGGGACTCGGCGCTTTTTATGGGGTGTGTTGTGGCGGGGGGGTGCCGAGCGACACCCCAAAAGACTGCGGTGTTGGGGGAGGCCCGGGTTCTGGGTCCAAAGGGGGCGCGTTGGGGACGCCCCGGGATCCTGGAGGGCTGCGGGGCGAAGGCGGGGCGGGGACCCCCGGGCTGGGGTTAGGGGGCCGGCTGCGGCCTTCCCGTCCGGCCCCAGGCCCCGGAGCGGGAAAGCCCCCCTAGCTGCTGCGGGAAATGTGCGGGAGGAGAGGCGGGCGCGAGGACCGGGAGTCGGGGTGCGTGTGTGCGCGCAGGGAACGAGGAGGCCCCGGGGGCCTTGGTCCCGCGGGGGCTGGACTCGGGCCCTCCACCTGGACTCCCGCCCGGCTACCGGGTGCTGACGTTTTCTGGGTTAAAGTTGCCGGTGCGGTGCCCTCCGGCGAGGCCAGGGGTCAGATCTGCCTGCACTGACGGACGGGCTGGGCGGGCGCTGTGCCTGTTGTGTGCCGCCTCGCCACAGCCACCGTCTCTGGTGGGCACCGTGGAGATAAAGCTTGGAGCGCACCTACCCCCCTCCCCCACTTCATTTTTTACTAAGGAATGTATCACCCTCTAATAATTTCATTGATTGATTGATTGATCGATTGCTTCTCTGACTCCCTCCCACCCTCCCCCGTAGAATCTCACTGATTTTTTTTTTCCCCTTTCTTGTTCCCTGCTGCTGACCCAGGGCTGGCAGTCAGGAAAACACACGTTCAGTGTTTGTGTCGGCCTTTGGAGTCTCACGATCTGCAAGGCTCCAGGAGCAAGGCGTTCCGGGCCAGCCACATAGCGTGGGTGTGTGCAGCCGCCGGGTCCCAGCCGGTCAGAGGCATAGCATTCAGGCTACAGGCAGGATTTGGCCAGTCTGCTGACTTCTACTCTGGATGGCCTGTTAGTATTTTCCAGTCTGCAGGCTATGACCCATGAGCGGCTGGGGAAGTCCGTTTAGCTGGGGGTAAACTGCAGATTGCAGCGACGCCAGTTCAAATCCCAGCTGCTCCGCCTCCATCCATCCAGCTTCCTGCTCATGTACTCGGGAAGGCAGCAGCTGATGGCCCAAGTACTCGGTCCCCTGCCACCCACATGGGACACCTGGATAGAGTTCCTGGCTTCCTGCTTTGGCCTGACCCAAATCTGACAGCCACCTGGGGAGTGAACCAGCAGATGGAACCACCACCCCCTGCCCTGTCACCCCGCCTTTCAAATAAATGAATTTTTTTGAAGACTAGAAGATAGAGATTCTTGTAAGGGCAGATTATTGTTAGTTTTACATGCATGTGTGCATGTGTGAACACCTCTAAAAGCCTCCACCCCCTCAACACTGCCACAGCAGAGACCAAGCCTCAGGTGGAACCCAAAGAGGAAGCAGTCAGCCAGTGCACAGCCGTTGACACAGTCACTGGTGGTGGTTTTCAGCTTCTAGCATTTGGAGTGGTTTATCGCACAACAATGGACAGCTAATACACCCCCTCATCTTCTCTCCCTCTGTGGGGATGCCCCAGCCTTCCCCCAACACCACGGTGCCCAACCTGGCTGATGTTGGAGCCCAGGCATCTGTAATCTGAGTTCCCCAGTTGATCCCCCGTGAGCATCTAGAATTGAAAAATTACCACCACTGGGAGACCTGGATAGCACCGTGCTCCAAGTGTGTCATCAGCATTACCCGGGAACTTAGAGAGATGCAAACACTCAGGCTCCATCCTCAGGCGGCTGAGACACAGAACCCCAGAGGCAGGACCCTCGGGTACGTTGCTGTTGAACAAAGCCTGCATGTGACCTTGAGGCCAGGTGACCCAGAGGTGGAACGTGGGGGCTGAGGTCACGTCTGCAGTAGGCTACTCTCTATCCTCATTTGGTTTGCCCTGGTGACCGTCTGTCCACGGAGGCCACCCAACATGTAAGTTGCTTTCTCGTGTTGTGAGCCCTGTGTCTTCATAAGGTGGAAGTGTCCACTGCCTGCCTGTGGCTCAGGGGCACGCACCTCCGCCTCGGCTTCAGGGTGAACAGCAGGTGCACTTGCACTGAGAGCTACAGAGGTGTGGGTCTTTCAGGAGAGGCAGCCGGAGTTCACTCTGTAGAGCACTCGACCCACACTTCATGGAATCCAATGACAATGACTTTCTGTGGTCAGCGATTTGGACGGGGCACATGGGACTGGCTCACCTCTGCTCCCTGATAATCCGGCCTTCGCCTGGGAGGACAGGAGTGCCGGGGTGATTGGAGGTTTCCTGGCTTGGGGCTGCAGATTGGAGCATGTCTCCACATGGCCTGGGCTTGTCATAGCATGGTGGCTGCCTCCCAGTGGGTCATTGCAAGCAGAGTCCAGAGATGGAAGGTACAAGAGAGTCAGTCTCAACCTGCATAGCCTTTTATGACCTAAGCTCAGAAATCACTGGGACATAGCATTCTTTGTAGGAACAGCCACTGGCCAAACTTGAAACAAGGGGAAAGGTCACCTTTTTTCGTTTGTTTGTTTTCCAAAGATTTATTTAATTATTTAAAAGAGTGACAGAGATAGAGATATAGAGAGAGAGATCTCTTCCATCTGCTGGTTCACCCTCCAAATGGCTGCAACAGCCAGTGCTAAGTCAGGCTGAAGCCAGGACCCTGGAACCCCATCCGGGTCTCTCATGTGCGTGGCAGGGGCCCAAGCACTTGGGCCATCTTTTGCTGTTTTCCCGGATGCATGGACAGGGAGATGGATCAAGGAGCTGGGACTGGAACCAGTGCCTATATGGGATGCAGGTGTCACAGGCGGCGGCTTAACTCTGTCCCACTACACCAGTCCCAAAAAGCCACCTTTTGAAGACCATGTTGGGTGCTGTAATGTTATTGTAGCCATCTTTTTTTGTTGTTGTTTGTTTTTAAGATCTATGTATTTGAAAAGCAGGGAGAGAGAGAGAGAGAGAGAGAGAGAGAGAGAGAGAGAGAGAGAAAGGTCTGCTGTCCTCTGATTCACTCCCCCAAATGTCTCCAATAGCCGAATTTGGGCCAGTCCGAAGCCAGGAACCAGAAATGTCATCTGTGTCTCCTACGTGGGTGCAGGGGGCCCAAGCACTTGGACCATCCTCTGCTGGTTTTCCGGCCGCACCAGCAGGAAGCTAGGTGGAAAGTGAACTGCCACTCCTATGTGGAATCCCAGTGTGTCACAAGCAGTGGCTTAACCCACTGAGTCACAATTGCCAGCCCCTGTTGCAGCCACCCTGCCGCACCTGCCACCTAGTAACAGGTGGTCCTGGAGAAGGCGTGGCGTGCAGAAGCAAGCAGCTTTGCTGCCTCATCAGGCCAGTTCTGTCCCAGGGAGCTGGGCAATGGTCTTCCATCCACTGGTTCAGTCCCCAGATGGCTGCAATGGCCTGGGCTGGGTCAAAGCCAGGAGCCAGGAGCTTCATCTGGGTCTCCCGTGTGGGTGCAGGGGCCCAAGTACTTGGGTCATTTTCCACTGCTTTCCCAGGCACATTAGCAGAGAGCTGGAGGGGAAGTGGAGCAATCGGGATTCGAACTGGCGCCTATATGGGATGCCGGTGTGGCAGGAGGTAACTTAACCTGCTGCACCACAGTGGTGGTCCTAGGGCCCATCTCTTAATGCTGTTGCACTGGGGATTAAGAACTTGGGCGGCACCAGCTAAGTGCAAAGACACGTGGCTCCCTCATCTGAACACACGCTGTGTGGTTGTGAGTGCTGAGCCCTTTCCATGCGTGTCTGGCACACGGGCCCAGGTCCCTGCTCTTCAAGGTGGATTCTGACAGTGTGGGGTCAAGGGCTCTGCTGGACACTCTGGGGTGAGCCCGAGGCAATTCTGTTCTGGAGGCCCAGAAATGACCCTCGGGGTGATGGGTGAGGGGTCAGATGAGCCCGCTGGGGACATCAGAACTGAGACTGGGTGATAATGCAGACAGTTCTAGGTGGAAGGAGAGGTGAGCCCCAGGGCCTAGGTGCTGGGCCACCTTCTTAGGTAGTGAGCTCCCCATAGCTTGGAGGGAACAAATACTGGCCAGCAACTGGCGGGGGGAGTTTCCAGGGGGAGGTTAGATAGGAGAAATGTGTGTGTCGGGGAGGTGGAGCAAGTTGTGCGGAACCATGAAAGCCTGGGTTTGGACTTGACCAGGAGCCCAAAGAATTCCTGAGCTTTCTCAGGGTCCTAGGAAGTGCTGAACACCAGCATGGAAGCCAGGAGCCGCTCAGGCAGAAGTCGGAGCAGAAAGAGAGGGGGCAAGAGGGTCAGGACAACGCCATTTGGCCAAGGGGATGTCTGTTTCTGGGGCTCGGGCTCTTTCTCCAGATCCTCTCCAGTCCCCCTGTGAGCTGACTTTGAGGCTCCTTCCGTGAGTTTGACAGACAACGCCAAGGGCCGTGGGGAGTCATGGAGGGTTCTTGAGCAGAGGAGGAGCCCGTGGGCCTTTGTGAGGGGTTCCAGGCCCCAGCAGCCTCCCCCTCCCACACTTCCCCAAGGGCAGCAGGAAAAGGAGATTTTTCTAGTGCTCTGCTTACATGGCCTCCTCCCTCCCTGCTGGTTCCCAAAGTGCAGGGTGCCGGATGAATGGAAACAGGCGTGGCTTAATCCACACCAGCTGAACCCTGACCTCGGGGAGAGGGCCCATCTGGCCTTGCCACGAACCCCAAGGACCAGACGCCAGTCTCTCTGCTGCGGATCCACGTGCAGGGACCTGGCCTGCAGGTGCATCCGTGGTCCCTCCAGGGTGAAGAGCGTGGCACACAGGAAACTTC